ATATATATATATATATATATATATATATACATTTATTAATAAATACTAAATAACTAAAATAATACTGGATAAAATGAGTGTAATAATATGCACCAATACCAATGCAAGTCCTTAAAAACACTCAACAGAAACTCATTCACATGTCCAATTCTGTCTCATTGCCCTCATAAAATATAGACAATACAAGAGAGCGAAAAGTTAAATGTCTCCATCAACAGCTCTGTATCGTGTCGGGTGTGTCACACTATGACCCCAGCCTACATCTTGGAGTCGCTGTATGCTTGTCATGTTCCTAAAACCTCCACAGTGCTGCTATGCCAACCAAAGCTCCTCTCAATCCCAGAGAAGGGGACAGGTCTGGTCAAATGACCCTGATGTCATTGGGGAAGATGGAGCAGATGTGGATGGGGCCCTCCATCATTGAATGATTAGTCAAGCACAGGCACACAAGACTGAAGTAACAACATGGACTGATGTCAAAGGTCAACATTATAAACTCTGATCATTGAACACATTTATCTTTACGTTGTTGATAATACAGATACTTCAACGGCCTGTAAGTGAAAGCCTCAGAGGTGACTGGCAAGATAGAGATACAGAAGGAAATCACTTTTCAACAATGTGAAATCCCACAGCTGTACACAGGGAAGAGCAACAGCAAAGAGAGAGAGATTTCTGAAAGGTCAGATGACACACACAGACTTGTGATATCTCTCTCCTCTTTCTTTTTACCTTCCTCTCTTTATTTCCCTCAACACATGGGCCTTCTGAGATTCAGAGAAAGAGAGAGAGGGTCACTAATAGAAGTGGAAATGGTAGATTTGTTACCAAGACAAATATTGGCGAGCTTCCTGTTCAAATGTCATCTCTGAGTAGAGGGGTCGCAAAAGTAATCTGATGGATGACAAACGTGACAAATGCATGTTTGTGTACATGTCTGCTGGCTTGTATTTGCTTAACTGATAGTGTGTGGTGACATAAACGAGAGGTTTTGAGGGAGTTGGATATCGATGCAGACACGATAATCACATTAAAGCAAGACGAAACAATACAGGCCAGTACATCAGTGGTGCTGTGGTTAGAAGGAGCAAGTTGTGAACTATCACCACTGTGCCACTGAGCAGGACACTTTAACCTGAGATACTCAAGGGGGACTGTCCTAGTAAAGTGCACTGATATAAACATCTGATAAATGGTCAAGCAGTAAAGAACAATGCAGGGCAATACCCCAGTATCACTGTTTGTCCTGCAAACTAGTAGTTGATCACCTGGCTTGGTAACCAAAAGTGAACTATCACTATATGAACTATATATCACCATTGTGCCCTTGTTCAAGACTCTTAACCTCACGTTACACCATAGTGACTGAACCTGTAATAAATGTACTGATAAAAGTATCTGATAAATGAGATCGTTCTGAACAATGCAGGTCAATACAAAAGCAGCCCTGTTTCCCTTGAAAAATCAATTATTATTCACCAAATGGTTGTATGGTCAAACCCGGCAAGATATAATCCATTCTGCTATTGAGAATCCTCTGTTTACATAATGGGGACTGTCTGACTGTTGCTAATAGTTACTTCATATAAAAAACATATAGGAACTTGAATGTAATAACATTAGGAATAAGCTACTGAAAAAAAGCCATATTGGTTGACCACTCATCTGAAAACTTGGGGAATATCCTCCCCGATGTCTAGTTATGTTGAATAAAATAGTCTAATAAATGACAGAGCATAACATGCAAGACAAATACTCCAGTAGCCCTGATTACCCTGTACATTTCCTCTAGACTAGTGGTTAAACATCTAGCATGGTTAACCATTAGGTTGTAGTTTCAAGACCAACAAGGTTTGATGCATTGTATATGAATACATATACTCAGGTTAATCCCATGGAATGTTCTCTGTAATAAATGTACTGATAAAAGCAAGGCTGTAATCACATTTGGGGACCAAATACAATAATTTATGAATCAAATCCATATCGTTGATCTGAATACTGGGGGGGGGGGGGGGGGGGCGTGTCCCCCTTCAATGTCTACTGCCCTAACTAAAACCATCTGAAAAATAACCGAGCAGAACATATAGGGAAATACCCCAGTGAGAAGTGACTGTCGCTTATATTTCAGCAATATGGGGTGCTGTGTGTACATTAATGAGGAAAAAAAATTAACTTAAATGATTTTAGCAAATGGCTGCAATATAACAAAGAGTGAAAAATTTAAGGGGGTCTGAATACTTTCCGTACCCACTGTATATCGCTAGATGCAACTTAGAACCGAGGATAGCGCTCACGGAGCTGCCGCAACATTTCAGCACCATGGACAGCGTTCACCAAGCGGCCGCAGCAATTCAGCACCGCGGACAGCGCACATCGAGCGGACGCTGTAATTCAGAACCACGGACAGCGCCGCCGCTGCTGCTGGTTTCCCCGCTCTACAGCAGTGCGGAGGGGGGAGGTGAAGCGGGGTTTCCCTCAGAGCTGGATGGAGCTCCTCTCTCTCTCTCCATCTTTGCACATTACCACCTTCACCAGCGGATTTCCATGAGAGGGTTATCACCAATCACATCACACGAAAAGCCATGGCCTTCACGTTTTTTTCCTCTGCCTAAAGCTGTATTATCCTGCCAATTCAGAAGATTTTACAAAATACCATCATTCCGTAACTCGAGTCTACATTTGATTTTCTTCCATTTTTGACAGAGGAAGGGAATTAATCGCATATTATACAGCCTTTGCTCGACCATTTCATTCGTCATAAACCAGCATCACTGAGAAAAAAAAAAAGAAAAGACATGAGGCACGAATGGAGATTACCGGCGAATGCATGTTTGCATTAACAAGACTGTCATGCAGAGAGGAAACCAGCATTCTGCCCACGATTCACAGCCATCCTCACTAATATCAGCCCACTGCATCCACTGTCTCTGACAGTAAATCCCATCTCTATCACCGATGTCTATATGGCCGGGTACTTAACAAATAATACAACATCCACTGAATTAAATGTGCTCATGAAACGCTGTGGCGTGAACGTTGAGCTATTTTAAAGGTTTAACAAACTAAAATTAATAATTCCGCAGATAAAACTATATCTTCCTGTGAAATTTCATTATAATATAACAGATACACATTAACCAGAAGCTGGTCTGTTTTTTTCGTGCAGGAGGTTTGGCAGGTAAATTAATCTCTGGCAAAGAGGGGAAAAGGCTTTAAATCACCGCTGACCATGAGAGAAACACACACAAACGCACACATGCACGCACACACACACACACACACATACACACACACACTTGGAGAGGAGAGGCACCGCTGGCAAACAGCTGGGAATATGCATCCGCTTTCCCCCAAAATAAACCCCAGGATGACTTGAAGGATTCTGGCCTTTACCTGTCAAGACGCCGACCCGGATTTGGTGGTCGTGGTTTGTTAAAATCATCCCGTCTGTCGCCATATTCAGCACCGCTGTCGCCGCACTGAGAACTCCAGGCAGAGCCAAGAGCCGAGCGCATCGAACTCTGGTGGGGGAATGAGGGAAGCGCGCAGGCGAGAGCAGCAGAGCGAAGATTCAGCGCTCATAATTTCTCACTGGGAAATCAGTGAATAAACAAAGGTCTTTATATTTTAGGTTTACATTATTACAGAGTTCTTATAAGAAACACTAATTATGTAAAATAAAGTTAACTTACATAGTTATATACACTACCGTTCAAAAATCTGGGGTCAGTTAGATTTTCTTTCAAATAAATTAATATTTCTATTCAGCAAGGATGCATTAAATTGATCAAAAGGGACTGTAAATACATTTATAATGATGTATAAAAGATTTCTATTTCAAATAAATGCTGTTCTTTTGAACTTTCTATTCGTTAAAGAATCCTGAAAAATGAAATGTATTACAATTTTCACACAAATTTGAAGCAACACAACTGTTTCCAACACTGATACAACTCAGAAAAGTTTCTTGAGCAGTAAATCAGTATATTTGAATGATTTATGAAGGATCATGTGACACTGAAGATTATTATATTATATTATTCAACACCAAACCAAACTTGAATTCTTATTATTATTCAAGACTTAAAGGGGTCATATGATGCTGCTAAAAAGAACATTATTTTGTGTATTTGGTGTAATGAAATGTGTTTATGCAGTTTAAGG